TTTGAGTGTAGTTTCTAGTAAGCTGGCATCACAAGCCGTTGATTGTGAGTATGATACTAATACGTAACAAATGAAATATTGTACCAAACCAACGTTTCTCAACCCTTTCTTCCTTGTAGGTCGTTTTGGTGCCAAAAAATTTCAGGACCACATAAGGAAAAATAGAAATACCATGTAACAGGAAACACATTCTATTTACAAAAGCAAAATGTCGTAGAAAATATAAAATGATTTAAGAAAGGAACTTTAAATTCAATTTTAACCATATCAGACGATAAAATCCACAACAGGCATTGCCTATAAATAAAAAGAGTTTAGTAAATTAAAAATAACTAACAGTGGAAAGCTGTAGTAAGAAAGCTGATATAATGTAGATAAAGTAATGCTTTCAAAACCTAAAATAAATTTTTGTTAATTAATTATCTGACGAAGCGTTCCGCACGACCATCACAGCTCAACTGTGATAACTTCCAAGGTCGGTTGTATGCGTATATACACCCGGTAAGCTATGTTCACGGGTGTGTCTTCTTGTCCGTGATCGAATCCAACAAAGAATAACAAGAAATGTTTTTCAAGACACTGATTGGGAAATAGCAAACGATACGATTTCTCACTTAACCGGCAATCTTCCTTCGGCTTCGTCGAGGTGAACTGCCATCTTACTAACTTCCGGCCACGAAAAAAGGACCCTCACATTCACTGTCCGATCTCGGCGACTGCTGACTCCTCACTGCTCGCTGGCCTCTTCCTCACTTTGATCGCTCCTCTGCTCACTCATTATATGGACGCCGGCTGGGGTTTTACCACTCCGATCAGTCCATTTGTGTTCCGGAAAAGAAGACCAACCTAAAGCTGGATGGGTGTTCAGTTTTTCAAAGGACTCTACTTTTATGATTATCTAAAATCACTAACAAAATTTTATGTTTGCCAATTCAAAGGCGGGCTGGAGACAGGAATCCTAAAATCTCTGATCATTAAATTGACTTAAAAGATGGACTGGAGACGAGATTCTTAATAAACTCTGGTAATTAAATTGACTGAAAAGGAAAAAGAATCTATCTATATATCTCCTAAAGATGTGTGAGAAATCGTATTGTTACAATTCTGTCATATAGTAAATTAATAACTCATAATAAATTCATCAAAGGTACTGGACTCAGATAAATGAAAATTAAATTAAATGAACACGACGTTTTTCTAACATCAGCGAATAAAGCAAAAAAACAAAAACAAAAACAACCCCCCCCAAAAAAAACAAACAACAACAAAAAAACAAAAAAACAAAAATAAAGATGTTTCAAATCAATTTGAAAATATAACTTATTATAAGAAGAAAACATTAAACATGTTTTAAAACAATTTCTGAATTGTTTGCCTTTAACAATAAAGTAAAGCAGTCTGTGTTTTATAATTTTACCCAAGTGGAAAAAATGGAATTTCAAAGCCTACCTATTTTCTTTGGGCCAACTCCAGGCCCATTTTAAAAATTTCTCAGGCCCAATTATGGACCTAAATATTGAGAATCACTGTGCTAAATTGAGTTTTTTTTTTTTAATCTGGTGAAACCTAAGCTTCTTCATCTGGTGTCAATATACATCAGTCTAATTTATTACGGACCATAATATCTATCATATTTTTTAACAGTAAGGTTCACCCTGTACAAAACCTGGGGGCCACTCGAGGTAGAGGGTTACGATAAAGGGTAGTTTATATGGATAGGTGAGGATGATAGCGGTTGGCTCTATCCATGAAAAGATAAAGATTGTAGTGATCAGGGAAACATCCTCTAGGGTGTCTGTTCCATAGGCATTGGTTCGCGGGAAGAAGATATTTGAGTGGAACTTACTTCTCGCCGATGAAATACGGAGGGAATGTGGGTGTTTTGCTACAATGTAAGTGGCATGGCGAGTTGTAGCCGTAAAGGTCAGACCTCGTGGAACCAGGAGATGCAGTTCGTCCATGCGCTTTCCATGGGAGTAGCGATAGAGCAGTGAGAGGTTCGACACATCTCGCCTGCGATAGAGAGGTTGGAATGTGGAAAATAATTTTTCTTCCACAAGGACTCAGAGACGCTTTTGAGTTCTATCAAGATTGGAAAGTGAGGTCTAGGCAGCTTCTTCCCAAATATGGCAACAGTACTCTATTTTTGGTCCGATCTGGCTCCTATAAAGGTAGAGGATAGCATGATGAGTGAGGTACATACTGAAGCGTTACAGGGAGCCGATCATTTTAACTGCATCTTTAGCGATGGATCGTATATAGGAATTCTACTTGAGGTCGGTGTGAGTTTGAGGTCCAATATCCTCTTGAGGCAAGGGACCTCCTCGAAGCGACACCCGTTAATCGAGACTGGCGGCAGTTCGAGTTATGATCGGCGGTGATGGAATGTAACCGGTTTGGTTTTAGAGGCATTGAATGTAACCAGCAAGTTTTTCGTAAAGTCTTCATTTTCTAAGTCGTACATCTCCCCATCTCCCCCTCTCTCTCTCTTTCTCTCTCTCTCTCTATATATATATATATATATATATATATATAGAGAGAGAGAGAGAGAGAGAGACAGAGACAGACAGACAGAGACAGAGAGACAGACAGGAGGAGAGTGGTTAGAAGATTCGCTTTCTGACCATGAGACCCAGGTTCGAATCTCAACATGGTCGATTTGTCAGGCAGGAGACGCACGTTGGGATTGAGGTCGATCCTTTGCGGCACCTTTTGACAGTGCCTGAAAGCCATATCACGGGTTGACCCAAGCCTTTTCAGTGAAATTGGGTAGACGGAAATTTTGCTAGCACAAAGCGTGCCTTGTTCAAATTGATCACGTTAGATAACACGCTCTCTCTCTCTCTCCCAGAAATTGTAACAAAGGTCTGCACAGCATAGTTGCAGTATAAAGCACAGGTGGGCTCTGTGGGCGTTGAGCAAGCAGAAATGTGCCTGAGCGAGCCGTCCTAGTAAACGTGGCCAGCTATATATATATATATATATATATATATATATATATATATATAGAGAGAGAGAGAGAGAGAATGAGCTAATTGTTGCTATTATTTTACCGGAAATTTCTATTTCAAACAGTTGTCTTCTCTAATCTATCCACGCATTTGGGGTGTGAAAAATTTCCAGCATTCATTTAGAAAACTACAGACTGAATTCAGAGTAAAAAATCTTCTGGAAACATTTGTAGATGTCTAAAACTTTTAAAATTTTATTTATCTCGTATTTCTTTAATAGATTAGTCAAACTTAATCTCTTATGTCGGCATTTTAAGTTATCTTTTTTCTTTGATTTTTGGCAACGCAATCCATCTCGTATAGCATTGATGGCGAAATCACATGTGCAAAAAGCAACATCCACCACATACACGCATGCGCGTACACTTTCCTTACTCGTTCCGTTTCATTTTGATAGATTTTTTTACCTATAAGACGAGAGAGACAGACAGAGACAGAGAGACAGAGAAAGAGACATAGAGAAAGAGAGAAAAAGAAGTCGTATCTCCTCGAATTAAGGCCAGTTCTCGTGTTAATTTGAGTTTTAACTCAGCTAGGGAAGAACTGATCAATGATCAAGCGAATCGCGCCCATTTGCCATGCCAACCACTGTCATTACATTCATAACTCGTAATGTTACAACTATGCCAATATCTGGAAAGACATATACATTTTAATGTAAATACATAACTGAATACAGAGCTGAACAAATTTATATAGCATAAGCGTATGCGCACATACTCACACACATACTCTCTCTCTCTCTCTTCGTCACACTCGCAAACACATACAAACACGTGCCATTAATTAATTCTCACACTTCATCTGCCCCTCGGGTAAATGACAAACATCTGATGTCAATTAAAAATAAAATTAACGATTTCCTTTTACCAACGACACAGAAACAAAAGCGCGCCTGTAATTCAATCAGTGTTTTAGTTTTAATAATTCTTCAGTTTCTGTCGGACATCCGACTGGAAGGCTCTTAAATACAGCCATTGGTGATTCAGCCGCCGGTCAGCAATCTGATATGATATTTATTAAATCAATTTCGCTAAATTATATTAGTAGACGTGTATCTTTACCGGATTGTTATTTGCTTTAGTTTCGCGGTGGTCAAAAGTAAAGGCTTCGGACTTCGAAAAAAACAACAAAAAACAAACTACAGTTTGAATGAGATTGATACATTTAAAGTTGATGCTCTTATGAAAAATATACGCGTTATAAAACTCACCTAATTTATTTGTCTCACACACCCAATGCAATCCAGGACACAAACCCACCGGACAAAAACCCAGCCATTTTCCCCAAAGGTGGACAAAATAGAAGTCTAATAAATAAAAAAAAAAGTCTCATATATAAAAAGAAACAAATTTAACTTTGAAAATTCAAGGAACTTTTAATTCAAATTTTAATGTCAAATTGAGACAATAATAATAATATCCAATATATACACTTATATGTACAAGAAAGATCTATTTCTGTCGGGAACTTCATGAGTTTATGGGTTCGTTCTCTTTGCTATAGAAATTCATTGTAAATCGATCCAATCTCTAAAAAAAGTTTTCTAACAATGCTACGGCCACATATTCGATCTATTTCATAGTTTTGGAGTCCTAGTATCCCATAAGACCCGACTTAATATGAAGAAAACATTTAGAAGGGTGTTTCCTTAAAGTTTGTGCAAAAGCGTAAACAAACCATGGAGATTTTATACGACTATATATTATGCCGAATTAAGGACTGAAATATATTTTTTATTCGTGAATTAACCCAGGATTACGTTTGACATTAAAATATTGTGCTCAAACATTTTAGGAGGTCAGATGATAAAACTCTGCATCTTTTCACCACTACTAATTCTAATATTTCTTGAGAAACCCAAGTACTAATTTGTGGAGTTTATGAGTGACTTTTAGCTTCACTTGATTAACAACTATTCACGACCACTATAACGAACCAGAGTTGTTCACTGTTTTACATAGGCTGTTTGATCTAAAGTCAATTTGCTTACGGTGATATCACGCTGAAACACCGATTCTTGTACGATCACCGAAATGAAGCAACGTCGAGCTTGGTCAGTACTTGGGTGGGTGACCACTTGGGAATACTATGTGTTGTAAGCTTGGGTGTGCAGGTGGTGTAATGGACAGCGACTCTGAATTGGAAATCTAACCGAGTTATATTCACTTACGCCCAAATACCCTTGGAAATGGTATGAATTCACCTCTTCTTCCCCCTCCCCCCGGCTATGGGTTAATTAGTAGCACTTGTATCAGTAAATCATTATTTTCTCCAAAAGATTCTTACAATCTAAAAATATATTCTGACTTTAAATTATATGCGAAAGGTTGATAAGCCGTAAAAAACAAATCAGTCAATCAATAAACTAAAACCAATTACACTGTCCATTGTATTACTAGGTGTAGGGTCGGCAATTTTTTTTATGTCTTTAGTCACAAGTAGGTATTCGTTATTGATACCGGAAATTTATCTTTATCTTTGTCTTTGGTCAAGGCCAGTTAATATATATATATATATATATATATATATATATATATATGTGTGTGTGTGTGTGTGTGTGTGTGTGATTGAATAAATTAAAGACATTATGTCTGCTAATTTTTAATAAAATCCGTTCATACTCACGGATATCCTTCTGTGTATTGATGTTAAAAGAAGAGAGAAATGTGCTATAGCTGTTTAAATTTCTTTTATTTTCATTTCCCAAGTACTTTCGATCTTTTCCCAAGATCATCTTCAGGGGTGCAATAGCACATTTCTTTCATCTCTTAACATCAATACATGGAAGGATATCCGTGAGTATGAACGCATTTTATTAAAAATTAGCAGACATAATGTCTGTAATTTATTCAATCAGACATGCCTAAAAGAGAATCTGCTGCCTAAATACACAAATTTTAATATGTAGAGATTTGATGCCAGATCGACAGGGTAAAGTGTACACTTTCATGTTTCTAACAATTGCCGTGGAAATCGGCCCGTCCCGGCCATAAAATGCAACCGTGAGTAGTGTGTTTGATATGGTGTGTGTTTTCTTGTGGTGGATATATGAATTTTCTTTACATTAAAAACTAATCAGAATTCATATTTTTTTTTGTAGGGGGGATAAATAAGTACCAACCCAGTATATTGTTAGGATTTCCATCGCCTTATACATTACTAAACCTTGTGTAATTAGATAGCAATAAAGCTGACGACAAATCTTCTAATGGAAATCTAGCGTGCGTTGTGTAATATAACAGTGTAACCAGACCGCATATCAATGTCAAACGTAGTCTAATGAAGGCAAAGAACGCAATCAGGTCTAGTCAATTTAAGTATGCATGCGCTTACGTATTTGATTTTTTATTTCTTTTTAATTATGATTACATATAAAAGATTCGGTCATTCAGATTGTTATCCTTCTAGCAGTACAAGTGTTGAGTAGTTGAGGCCAGCGTCAGCAGAATGACCGTGCGATCAAAAGTGATCAGACAATTTTACTGGAAAAGAAACTTTATACGTCGTTCAACACCACATTCTCTCTCAAATTGAAATTCAATATAAAGCAGCCAAAAACTGAAGATATTCGAATCATATTTGAACGGTCTTTCCATTATGTTAAAAATCACATATTTGAACAGTCTTTCCATTACGATAAAAATCACAGGGCTGATAATAATTAAGTACTAATTCCAGTGGCGGACTTGCCCGATGGCAGTTGGGATCCTGATAGAATGGGCTTCATATATCAAATAAAATGCAATAAAGAATCAAACACAGACAACTGTTTTAGTAATAAAAGGAATAAGAACTTTATAAAGTCATCTGCACATTATCTGTTACAAGTTATAAGTCCAATGTGAGAGGACATTTTCAAAGCTTAAGATCATGAAGACAAGTTTTAAAAATTTGCTGTCTGAAGAGAATTTGGAATCATACATGTTGTTATCCGTTGACAAGGAATTGTTAGATAAATTGGATGCAGAAACAATTATTTGAACAATCTTGTGAACACAAACGATTGATCTTAATTTAGTGGACTGCATGCAATGCTCTATTGTGCTTTTGAACTATCTGTTAATGTATAAATTGTGCAGTAAACTATTTAAAAATATCAAACAATTACTTAAAATTTAAAAAAAAATGAAAAATTAAATTATAACATTCTGTATTTACATTTGCTATCTATCGCCAGTAATATGTACAGTGAATGTACACTGTTATTATTAAGAAATATACATTTTTTCCACAAAAAATTTTGTCGTATGTATTTTTTTAAAATTTTATTTATTCGTTAACCTTTACCTCGCTAATTTCTTTCTAGAGTTGTTTCCCCTATCAATGCATTTTTGAGGGTGCAAAAACATGAACACCTACTGTTTTAAAATTATTATAAATTTCTTTGTATTGTGCATATAGATTTTAATTATTGTACACCAATAAAAGAATGTATGAGTAATATTTTGGTGTAATACATTATGTTTTGCATGCAACAAATGTTTCCTGGCAACCAATATTTTTAGACCTCGTCCACCACTGACTAGTTCGCTACCTGTTGCTTCGCTGTCAGCAAAATGATCTAATTTCAAAACTAAATACACAAGGAATCATAAAAATTATTTCATAGGGTCACCGAAGGCAAGATGATAAAATTTCAAATCTAAATCATTTGTTCACTTTAAATACTACATTTAATGGAAAATATATTAAGTTTAAATACGGAAGGAATAATAAAAAAAATGACTTAAAATGGCCGCACTATTTCCCTGTTACTCTGGGCTTAGCCCACTCGACACAGATGTTCATTACCATTTCATTCAAATTGTGCGTGTATGTACGTTTGCACGTGTGCAGGTGTTATTCAATCACAGACTTAAAATATTTCTTTAAAAAAGAGCTTTAAATATAATTCTATTTATTAACAAATAATTTTCGAAAAGTTCAATAAAATCTTATAATTATTTAATTTTTAGGGTTATTTCTTTTTATTTCTATATTTATGCTTTTATGACCCAGCCCAGGGTAAGTGTTGCCCAAACTGAGTAGGAAATGAAATAAGACATTCCAGTGTCTTTTATTTCAAACTCAGATTGTCTGTGTATGTATGATTCTTGTGTGTGCATTAAATGACATAAGCATGTGTAAGTCGCTTACGCATAACACAGACATACACATAACCATACATATTACATAAATAGATATATAGTCACACTTAGTGTGTGACGGACAAGGAATCAATTCTTCTTTTATAATACAGGTCGTCGTCGACTAACGACTCATGACTGTTCAACTTTACAACCACGACCGCGAATTGGTAAGTCTGGCCATCTCTTCACGACCGTTCCGCGTCTAGCACTATGAATGATTTCCAGCCTGGTGTACGACAATTTCTGCCCAGCTCCCAGTAGCACTAGTGCCTCAAGCTCAGTGTTAGGGCAGCCTCGGTACAACACACTTTCCGCCTAGTTCGTTTGTGTCTTTGAAATTTTACTTAAAAGACCTCTACCAAGAAGAAAGTGTATTTTTCCACTCCTCTTTGTTTTTTTTTATATGCTAGCACATATTCAACCAATTGTACTGTAGTATGCAGTGTTCGACGAACGTAAAAATAAGAAACAAAACAATGTGTAGAGAAATGATACAAATAGTATCAAACGTAATGTAACGGTAAAAATTATAAAAAATACAATGATGCCTAAAAAAAATAAAAATATTGCAAAATTAATTACAGGTCCACTTACGACCAGATCGATTTACGACTTGACGGTCGTAACCAATCGTAGTCGTAAATCGACGACAACCTGTATAAATTTTAGCAAATAACGCTTTAAAAAACGATTTATTACATTGGTATGTTCCAAACTTTCGGCTTATTGCATCTGGTATGGTATCCAAATGGTAAAAGTAACAAAATGAATTTAGTTTACAAAGTCATTATTACATTATGAACCACATGATCAGGAACTGTTTTATTTACAATGTTACAAGACGTCAATACTCATTTCCGAGAAAGTTAAAGATGAACGAAATATCTATTTATATACTTACATTAGGGAGAATGCTGAGCATGATCCCACAGAAGTAAATGAAATGAAATGGTTACATATCCAATGCTTTCCGTATTTGTTCTGAAAATAAATAAAAAGGTAATTGTACACATTAGGAAATAAAAAAAATACACAATCAATTTTTTTTAAATAGTTGATAGGAAAAGTAAAGAATGAATTTCATTGTTGGTTGGAATTGATGAAATTATTTGATTTTCAATGAAAATGGTTGGTAGCGTTTTTATTAAGTATTAATTTATCAAGCTAAATGTTGGCTTACTCTGTTGCATTCATCTCGTACTAATGCCATTTGGAAATCTACTCTCTCCCAACCAGAGCTAAATATATACTGGTCTCTTTAAACTTCGTTGGGAATCAATCTATCAATAAGAATTTCTGAAATCGAAACCGAGGTGAAAGCAATGGGAAAATACTTCATCTTCACCAAAAAGTTATGCCACTTCGCATATATTAAAGAAAAAGGTATATGTGAAGAGCTATACTCGCCTACGCCCTGAAGAGATATTCCATATATATATATATATATATATATATATATATATATATATATATATATATAAAAGTGAACAGAGAAGTCAACACTTAGAGGCGACAGTCTGTTTCATGCTAGATGCAATCCTCAGGCTAAGTGATGAGTTCTATGTTCACTTTTATATTTGCACACGCTCTATCTCTGATATTGAACACTTTATCCCATAAATATATCACATCTTAAGACTGTATTTCTTCATATATATATATATATATATATATATATATATATATATATATATATATATGTGTGTGTGTGTGTGTGTGTAAATATTTTCAGATAGATTTATCCATCTACAGATATTGTAGAGGAAATAAATGAATAAAAACAGACAATAGAAAAAAAATTATTCTTAGCCGACGCGTTTCGTCCTCTTAGGGAATTTATCAAGACAACGTAGGATTTATTTTTTCGCACGTGTTTATATGCAAAAGCTAGAATGTCATTGGTTTATCAAGGCTTTTAAATTTGAGAACGTTTATGAATGTTCATCAGGTGCTTGAAAGGTCAGTCAAAACATATGGAGGACACAAAGTGTCATAATTCAAAGTCTGGCAAAAAGTAGGCGAGTAATATTCAATTTTTTTTTTAATATTACTATTACAGGGTGCGACGAATAAATTGACGTCATTTTATATTCTTAATTTCGCGCATGCACGTTGTTTGTTTTTTGATTTTGTCGACTGCACAGTATATTAGGGTCAGCTGGAACCGTCAGTGAGAAAACGAGCACCATGACGCAATTTACTCCGCCAGAAATTTGGAAATGGCGTGTTGTAATGCCTGGCATTCGCACCGGAAGCATCAATACGAACATTTCAGGGTGTTTGAGTGTCAATCTGAGGACAATGCAGAGGATTCGGAAAGAGTTGGATGAGTCTAATGGTGATTATGAAAGTGTTTGGTGTGATCACTGGTGATGGTGACGTTATTCCCACAAGGCCTCATTAACACGGAAGCCTATATCAGGTGCCTTGGAGTTAGTGCTGCCCTGGGTCAAGAGGGTGACTGCTAGAAGACACTATGTCTGGCAAGAGGACTCTGCACCAGGCCACACAAGCAGGAGAATTAAAGTCATAGCTGCCAGACGATTTCTGCGACGACATAACACCTTACATCTGGCCGCCTAACTTCCCAGACTGCAAAACCACTTGATTATTATTTGTGGGGCGCAGTTGAGCGAGAGGCCAACAAAACGCCTTATAACACCAAAGAGGAACTGAAGGCAAGGATTATGGCAGCATTCACCAACTTAAATAAGGAGATTGCCCAGAAAAGTTGCAGGAGATTCCGTAGACGTTTGGAGGTCGTGGTTGAAGCCAACGATGATTTTATTGAATAAATTTACTCTTTAGTATTTCAAGATATTTTTGTGTAATTTTGGAAAATATATCTGTTAAAATGAGCAAAACTTTCATATTCAAAATGTTTAAAATTAAAACTATCTTATGAAATATATTTTAAAAGAGTTAAAATCTAAGTCAAAATAACATAGATATAACTTAAGTCATTAATAATGAAAGCATTTTGAAAATATCTTTTTAAAAATCTATTCAAATGTCCTCAAAGCAATTAAAGTCTTAGTCATCAGATCCTGGGGAGAAAAGTTAAAATTAATAAACTTTCATTCACTGACTACTGATATTTTTTTATTAATTAATTTCATTATTACAGTTGGTTTACCGCGTAAGTCAAATATAATTTTCTTCAAGGGTAGAGTTGCGTTTCCTCTGTCAAAACGGGCTTGACATGTGTATAGTAAAATAATGTTGTTCAGTTCTAAGCTATAATTAATGATTTTTTCTTTTTTTTAAGATAATTTTTAGATAATTTTAATTTCTTAATAATTAATTTCGTTTTAATTTCTTATTCATTTCATTTTTTAGATAATTTTTTCATTGCAGCAAAAACAAGAAAATATTACGAAAAAAATGAATTTTAATAAGGTGTGTCGATATTCCGATAAAAACTCTGGACATACCTCGTTAGTTTACTATTATCTGTGAATTCCACTATATGTTGGGGGATCTTGGAACTAATCTATCGCGGATAACGAGGTCATATTTGATTTTTAGTAAAGAAAAACTCTTGTTGCAAGTAATATTTGTGTGTATTCTGGGAATAAAACAATTGCGTTGGTAAAAATTTATCTATTGTTCCGATATCATATGTATACTAGCCTAGATAATGCGTTCAATGTCAAAGCACAAAAATAGAAAGGGGCGGAAGACAAGGATATCTCTTCTCACCGGACTTATTTACAGTGAGGAGAGAATTAGAAGTTGTTGTTGTTGTTGATGTTGTTGTTGTTGTTGTTCTTCTTCTTCTTCCTCCTCCTCTTGCCTCCTCCTCCCCCCTCTTCTTCTTCTTCTATATACCGTGTCCCTTTAGGTCGTTGGCGATCATGCTTCTCCACAGTTTCCTATCCTTTGTAGCACTTAATAGATTTTGTTTTTTTGTTATCTCTCCTAAGCCTTGTACCACCACCCATTTACTTAAGCTCTCCGTGTAGATTATTCGTTTTTTTTTCCTCTGTACATCTTGACTTCTATCTTTCCTGTGAGTATCAAATTTTCCAAGTCCTCTTTTCACATTACGTGCCTGAAAATTTTCAACTGTCTCTTTCTGATTCTAGCGTCCTTTTTTTTACCATTTTACAAAAATTGACACTGACAGGACATATTGAAAGTGGGGGTGGAGGGCAGAGGAAAGTTGCGCATAACCTACCTATCGTGCTTTTGTAAAAATGGTTGGCAGAATAGGGATAAGGCGATATAGTAAAAAGGCAAACAATGCCAAGAGCTACAAAGGTGATGTAATGAATATGCATACACCTGGGTTCCCCCTCACAGTAATGTGATTGGCTGGTGGCAGCCATAAATACAGACTGATGTGGAGGTACATGGACTACGCCTATTGTCTTCGCCTTGTCTACCACTACGACGAGGACCAGTCCATTACGGTTACCTGCTAGATTGTCCTACTTGGTTACAGTAGCCAAAACCACTTAGCTACAACGAACAAATATATCCCTTTCAGGGACATATTAAAAGGACAGGAAATTGTGGAGAACATGATTGACCACGCTTTGAATAGACACGGCACATAAAAGAAGAAAATTAAACACCGAGTCCTTTAGATTGTGGAATAATGTATTATTCCATCTACGACATTTTACGCGCGCGCGAGTTGCCTCTCGACTTTCAACCGGACTGGATGGGCAACTCATTTATTCCGTGCCCTTAACCCATATGCGGGCCGGAATATCTTATTTCAAAAATGTCGACTGCACCCTCTACCAAGACTTTTTCTCCTTTTGAAGCTGCCAACAGGTCGGACCTTTTTCTCCGTTTTCTACCAGAAGACGTTTTAGAGATACGCGACACTGTCGCGAGCAAAAGTTCGTATGCAACTAATGGCGTATTTTTATCCCTCGACAGGGGCCTAATAAGTATAGGCAGGGATGTCCTACTGAACGAACAAATTGCTAATCACAGGTCAGGACCTTTTTACTCCGTTTTCTACCAGAAGACGTTTTTAGAGACACACGACACTGTCGTTCAAGAAACTTCGTGTTCAAGTAGGTGACAAAAATTTTTCGTCTTTCTCTTTGGGCTCCCGTTAAACCATTCTACAAGACATGTTTCGAACCAAATAATACAGGCAGGGATATTTATTACCTTTGAACAAAAACCTTTTTCGTCATTTTTCGTCTTTTCTTTGGGCTCGTAAACCATTCTACAAGACCATGCTTCGTCTCTCCCTCGGCTAGATGTCCACAGCAGTCCAGAACATTTACCAGCGGTCAATTCAATATTTACCGAACATTCTTTATAACTTTGAACCTGTACATTAAAAATATGCATAATCACTTACAACTTAAAATATCCACAGTGAGTACTCCTTTCTATCTGTGCGCACCTTCTTTTTCCGGAACTGTATAGAACTTTCTTTTCCCGCCTTTGGCCATCTTGTATTTCTATTTTGGCGCGGAACACTTTTCATTGATTCCCTACCTTGAGTTAAGTTACTTGTTACTGTTTGATTAAAAAGTTTACTCATGTTTTTATAAACAGATGTCTTTGGCATTTTTATTCCGGCTATCATAATATATTTTATTTTATGCACTTGTTGATTGACCCCTTTCCTCTCATTGTTCATTCACGCATTTTTTTTTTTTTTACTTTGCTTGTAGACTCGGTAGTTTAGTGTGGTGTCTGGCACAAGGCCACTCAGTATAATCCAGCACTACACCCTACCGGGTCCGCAACAAGATTGGTGACCCCGTGAATTGAACACGTAATAATTTTGCAACCTTGCTAACATATTTCTGAGCAAGCTGAAATATAAACGTGCTTAAATTCAATAGCCGGAATGACGACTAGTGACTCTGAAGAGTTGGCGAACATGTCCGCCGCCGTCGCTCCTTTTCCCCCCTTTCATGAAGGGAATATAAAGAACTGGTTCTTACAAATGGAAGCCATTTTCACAGTCAGAAGGATTACAGACCAAAAGACCAAGTTTGGCCACGTGGTGGCGGTTTTGCCACCCGCCATTGTCGATGAGGTCTCAGACTTCCTAGAAGCCGTTCCTGAAGTAGAACCCTACGCGCGGTTAAAAGAGGCAATCTTAAGGAGAATGGGCCGTACAGAGGAGTCGTTAATCCGGGAACTATTTAGCAACCTAACTTGTGATGGCAGGACTCCCTCCCAACTTCTTCGTTATATGAAAAGCCGACTCGGCAAAAATACCATGGCCGACTCTATATTAAAAAGCTTGTGGCTGGACCGTCTCCCCCCACCACCATAACCCAAATTTTGGCGCCAATGTCCGAAAACACCTCGATCGATCAATTAGCGGACGCCGCGGATCGTATTTTCTCGCAACTGGATAATCAGACAACGCCGGTACACAGTGCTGAAGCGACTGGAGACCACAGGTCCTTGGAAAAAACAGTCGAGGAATTGCAGCGCCAAGTTAAGGATTTAACATTAGCTCTAAAGAGCCGTGGTCGAAGCCGGTTCCCTTCCGCCGGCGCTTCAGAAGTCGACCACGCTCGTCCAGCCGAGATAAGGATGCCACTCCTACTATGTGTTACTACCACCGAAGATTTGGGTCTAAAGCTTATTACTGCATCAAGCCGTGTACTTATACTGCGGTCGCGGAAAACAAAACCGCCAGCGAGTGAAAGCGACTAATCTCGCTGGCAAGGCATTTTCACCAAAACTTAGTCGCCTTTTTTATGTGACGGACACGCGTAATAATTTACGTTTTTTGGTTGATACCGGCGCTGCCATTAGTGTCTTACCCGTGCGTGATAAAGCTCGTCAACAACCTTTTCAGCTCCGCTTACAAGCAGCAAATGGTTCCAGTATTAATACTTACGGTACGAAGTCCCTTACCCTAAACATAGGGATGCGACGAGACTTCACTTGGAATTTTACTGTTGCTGACGTCCAGATGCCGATACTAGGTGCCGATTTCCTGGCGCACTATGATCTCGCCGTGCGAATGAACAATCATTCCCTTACTGACAACTTAACAAGACTGTGTGTTCTTGGCACTTATTCTAAACTTACTACCACTGGCATCACCGTGGCAACGTGCCACAATAAAGAGTACTTAGACTTATTGAATCAGTACCAGGACCTCCTGCGTCCTGCTGGATCTATTGATTCAACTAAACATCAAACACAACACTTTATTAAGACCACTGGTCAACCTGTTTTTCCCGTCCTCGTCGTCTAGCACCTAACAAATTAAAATTCGCAAAGAAAGCTTTCGACGACATGCTACGAGAGGGTGTTATTCGTCCGTCCGACAGTCCTTACGCTTCCCCTCTTCATTTAGTACCTAAACCAGGAAAGGAGGACTATAGAATTTGTGTGGATTATAGAAGATTGAATTCCATCACCGTCCGGGATCGTTATCCAATCCCCACCTCCACGATTTCACTTCTGGTTTACAAGGCGCAAAGATTTTTACTAAAATAGATCTAGCAAAAGCATATTATCAGGTGCCAGTAGCTGCTGCTGATGTCCCAAAAACTGCTGTTACTACACCTTTCGGTTTATTTGAGTTTTTGAAAATGCCTTTCGGCCTTTGCAACGCAGCACAGACATTCCAACGTCTTATGGACGAGGTTCTGCGTGGACTCCCTTTTGTTTTCGATTACATTGACGACATTCTGATAGCTAGCGAGGACGCTGCCTCGCATAAACAACACCTACACGAAGTTCTTCAACGTTTGTCCCATTACGGATTTCGTCTAAACCTGGACAAATGTGTCTTCGGATCAGACCATATAGAATTTTTAGGACATCACGTCGATGCAAATGGAATTGCCCTTTAACTGAAAAGATTAAAGCTATCACTGAGTTTCCCGTCCCTGTTTCTATTAAACAGTTGAGACGCTTTATAGGGATGATCAACTTCTACAGGAGGTTTATTCCAAACTGTTCTAACATCCTGACTCCCCTTACCAATTTATTACAGAAGAAGAAGAATAAGACTATTATACTTGAGAATGAAGCCTTGGACGCCTTTCGAGCAGCTAAAACCGCTCTGGGCAATTTTTCTAAGCTCAGTTTCTTAGAGGACGACCCTCAATCGGATATCTACCTGACCACTGACGCTAGCGAAACAGCAATAGGCGCGGTCATTGAACAAGTCACTCCTTCTCAACGTAGACCTATAGCGTTCTTTTCCGCTAAACTTTCTCCTGCCCAGTCACGCTACAGTACCTTTTCTCGTGAACTGTTGGCTATATTTCGTGCCATTAAGCATTTCAGACACCTCCTCGAAGGTAGGTCCTTCGTTATATTTACGGACCACAAACCTTTAACGTCCGTTATGTCCACTAATTCGGACAAATACACTGCGAGGGAGATCAGATACCTGGACTATATATCACAATTTACTACTGATATTAGGTACATTAAGGGTTCGGATAACACTGTTGCCGATACCCTATCTCGTACTGAGATGTTCGGCGTGCATACTGATGCACTCAGTCAAGATTTGATCGCCGACGAACAGGAAGCGGACATAACTCTGAAGCATGTGTTATCAGACACTTCTTTAGAACTTCAGAAATGTCCAGCTCCTTTTAGTAACAAGGTCTTATACTGTGATGTAAAATCCAAATCACCAAGACCTTATATTCCTCCGTCTCTTCGTAGACAGGTTTTTGACCACCTACACGGACTCTCACACCCTAGCAAAAGAGCCACAGTTAAGTTAATTTCGGACCGTTTCGTTTGGCCGAATATGAACGTTCACATTCGTGAATGGGTCAATACTTGTTTACAATGTCAGAAGTGTAAGGTGCATAGACACACAAAATCTCCCGTGGGCACTTTCAGTGAGCCTGATGCTCGTTTTACTAATATACACCTGGACTTAGTTGGGCCCTTACCAACCTGCCACGGTTATTCCTACCTTCTAACTATAGTGGATCGTTTTTCCCGATGGCCTACTGCCATCCCTGTTAAAGATACCACTGCTGTGACTGTCGCAAAAGCTATTTTAAGCGACTGGATTTCAATTTTTGGGACTCCTAAAGTGGTTACTACAGATAGAGGAGCTCAGTTCCAGTCGTGTCTTTTCAAGGAATTCACTGAACTCCTTGGTGCAAAGCACATACGTACTACAGCGTATCACCCCTGTGCTAATGGGCTGGTGGAACGATTCCATCGCACCCTTAAGGCTTCGCTATCAACGAAGCATGAGAATAATAATTGGGTCGATGAATTACCCCTCATCCTTCTATCGTTAAGAAATATTCTTAAGGATGACTTGAAATGCTCCCCTGCAGAGCTTGTATTTGGTACTTCGTTATCTTTACCTGGCCAATATTTTCGCCAGCTGTGACCACACCACCAGTTTCTTCCTCTTTTATTCAGGACTTACGCCTTAAAATGGCAAACTTATGCTATACACCACCGCGGCACTGCCCGAGTGATATCTATTTACCGCACCAGCTAAAAGACTGTGAATTTGTATTCGTACGTAACGACTCTGTTAAGCGGCCTCTTACGCCGGCCTACACAGGCCCATACCGCGTTCTTAAACGCGCGGACAAATATTTCCAAATACAAAAAGGTATTCACACCGACAACGTTTCAATAGATCGGTTGAAACCTGCCTTTATAGAGAAACCGTCGTCTCATGCTACTTCCCAATCAACTCCGCAAGTTCAGGAGAATTTTAAGACACCTGTTTCTCTCGACAAGCCTAAGTGTACCAGCTCCGGTCGAAAAGTCACCTTTCCAAAGAAATTTGAAACATTTTACTATTATTAGTCAAATGTCTGCGACATTTGATCCAGGGGGAGAGCTGTGTGGAATAATGTATTATTCCATCTACGACATTTTACGCGCGCGCGAGTTGCCTCTCGACTTTCAACCGGACTGGATGGGCAACTCATTTATTCCGTGCCCTTAACCCATATGCGGGCCGGAATATCTTATTTCAACAATGTCGACTGCACCCTCTACCAAGACTTTTTCTCCTTTTGAAGCTGCCAACAGGTCGGACCTTTTTCTCCGTTTTCTACCAGAAGACGTTTTAGAGATACGCGACACTGTCGCGAGCAAAAGTTCGTATGCAACTAATGGCGTATTTTATCCCTCGACAGGGGCCTAATAAGTATAGGCAGGGATGTCCTACTGAACGAACAAATAGCTAATCACAGGTCAGGACCTTTTTACTCCGTTTTCTACCAGAAGACGTTTTTAGAGACACACGACACTGTCGTCGGCAGAAACTTCGTGTTCAACAGGTGACTTAAACTTACCCCTGGCTTCGAACCAAATAATACAGGCAGGGATAGTATTACCTGTGAACAAAAAACATTTTTCTTTCTTTAAACCATTCTTTGGGCAAGACCATGTTTCGTTTCTACCGGCTAAACCATTCAGAACACAAGACCACCTTTGAACGAAAACATTTTTCGTCTTTTCGTCTCTAAACCATTCTACAAGACCATGCTTCGTCTCTCCCTAGATGTCCACAGCAGTCCAGAACATTTACCAGCGGTCAATTCAATATTTACCGAACATTCTTTATAACTTTGAACCTGTACATTAAAAATATGCATAATCACTTACAACTTAAAATATCCACAGTGAGTACTCCTTTCTATCTGTGCGCACATTCTTTTTCCGGAACTGTATAAGACTTTCTTTTCCCGCCTTTGGCCATCTTGTATTTCTATTTTGGCGCGGAACACTTTTCATTGATTCCCTACCTTGAGTTAAGTTACTTGTTACTGTTTAATTAAAGTTTTGTTTACTCATGTTTTATAAACAGATGTCTTTGGCATTTTTATTCCGGCTATCATAATATATTTTATTTTATGCACTTGTTGATTGACCCCTTTCCTCTCATTGTTCATTCACGCATATTTTTTTTTTTACTTTGCTTGTAGACTCGGTAGTTTAGTGTGGTGTCTGGCACAAGGCCACTCAGTATAATCCAGCACTACACCCTACCGGGTCCGCAACAAGATCATAGAAAAACTAAGACGGAGCTAATTACAGATTTTTTTAAAAGGACACTTATCTTCCTTATAACTTGCCTTACTGTAATATAATTCTGAGAAAAGTAAGAAACTAAATCCAAGTATTGAAATGTGAAAATAAGAAAAAGGAGAGAGAGAGAGGAGGGGGGGGGGGGGGGAGGGAGAGAGAGGGGAGGAGGTAGAGAGGGGAGGTAGAGAGAGAGGGGAGAGGGAGGGAGAGAGGGGGAGGTAGAGAGAGAGAGAGGGTGAGGGAGAGAGAGATATGAGAATAATGTCGAAAGGCGGTAAGAGTTTGGCGAATAATGAAAAAAGGAGACAGAGAGATTAGGTGAGTCTTCTAATTTTTTTTATTTTTTATTGATAAACACAGAAACTATTTCGGAAGCTAAAAAGCTAATTAAAAACAAAACAACGAAAATTGTTTTTGTAAGTAATGAGATTCTGGCTTCCAAAACAGCGAAGCGATTTTGGAAAATTATCGAGACAGCAAAATCGGGAATGATTTTTGACTGGTTAAAAAAAAAAGTGCAAAAACTTATATCTGGATGAAGTATAAATAGTTATTTACTCAAGGAAGATTAGTTTGGGCCTCAAGTATAGGATACTCAGTGAGTATCGAACTCATGACTCAGTAGCAAAAAAAAAAAAAAGAAGCATGTCCACTCAGCGTAGATC